AATTTTCACTATGCACAATATGACCCTGACACATATTTTAACGTTATATGACGTATTTTTAAAAAAGAAAACAATGTCACCGGCGATGTGTGTAGGGGATCGTGAAGTGTTTTTATTCCTTTACAATGAACTTATCGAATGAAATTTTAAAAATCAACATTTTTTAATCATTCATCTATGTCTCTAATAAAATCAGTATTTTAGTTAGAGTACTTTGAAAACAGCTACAACGTAAATACGCTGAACCTACTGTGGTTTAAACGAGTAACGCTGCCGAAACAAGCTACAAAATGACATGCCCGGTGTTCACTGAAATTATTGTATAAGAGTAAAAAATGATGGCTTCATAATTATGTAGAAATTAAGAATAGGTTACCTGGTTTAATTTAAGATGTTTAACGTTCTTTTCCGTATTTGGATACGCAAACGTCAAGTTATTCAATTTCGATGTTTTTGGCGAACAAAAAATATGGCTGATAATTATTAGAACTGACACGATGAAGTGATAGCAAATAAAAATGGTTTTCGACAATGTTTCTATGTCGTATTAAAGTTATATTATTCACAAAACCTACAAACTTTAAAAATCAATTATAATAAAAGCATGACAATTTCCTAAATAAGTTTAAACATCGATTTTTTAGCCGATTGATTTCGCGGACTTTTTGTCGTCGCCGATTTTTGTGGCGCCACCTAATTATGTCCCCTTGCTATTTTTGCTGATAGAGCTTGACGACAACGGACGTTTCTAAGGAGTTGCTTTCCAACTGTTAGACAGTTTTACGCTTGGCAAAGTAAGCTTGATAACGTCTCCTCACACACGATGACGACGTTGATAACTTCTCAGACATTGTGACGTTGCTGATAACTTTCAGACATTATGACGTCGCTGATAACTTCTCAGATATCATAACGTCCCTAAATTCTGCTCACGTCTTAAAGCTGTGATACGAAAATTACGGAGTGACTGTCAGAGTATCCTAAACCCCTTCTTAATTGATAAAAAAAAGAGAGGCGAAAGATACCAGAGGGCATGATTCCCAATGAGGCAACTATCAACCGTAGACAAAATTATTTCGATAATACCGTACGGCCATCAATAATGGATACAACTCATACCATATAGTTAGCAACAAAACGTCCCGAAAGACGAAATGTGAAACAACTCAAACGAGAAACACCAATCGCCTTGTTCATGGTAAAGTAATAAACGAAAAACAAATATGACAACCAACGACAGCCACTGAATTGAAGGCTCTTTTCTTTTGCAGGCAACCTCTCACCGTAAACTGATACAGTGGTGTAACAACATTTCATAAGAACAAAGTTGGTTTTTTTTACATGTAACCACGTAGAAAATTGGTTAAAATTTAATTTTTCTTCGGAACAAATGTTATGATGGAGTAATTAAGAAGACAATACACAAAACAAATATAAAAATAATACAATGTTCATGTAATAAATAAAATGTTGATAGAATGAAATCATAATGAAGTTGTCATTGCTTGCTTGATTGGAAAACGCAAGCATGTGAGAAAATGAAAATATTCCTTTTCCTTCAATAACTTCACTAAGTAAAGGTTAAGTACATGTTTTGCAAAATACCATACAGTGGCAATTTCTGTGAATAGTTCTGCATTTAACCTCATGCGATAGCAAATAATAGAATTTTATATGTTTGTAACCTGTAATGTGAACAATGGTGACTGTTGCCATTGAAATAGCAAAAAATGAAATATTCGAACAGAACCAAAACGTACAAAAATTTGATCATACACATGTGCACAATAAGAGTTTGAAAAATTCAAAATGACTGCTGTCGCCATGGAACTACAAGTTCGGGGTAGCATTCGCATTTTCTTGCAATTGTAATTCTTTGTCTTTCTATGCATTCTTTCTTAAAAGTCTTAAAAAACTTCTAGTCAGATAAACTTTTAATTCGATTGAACAGCTTTTGTATGCGGTAATTTGCTTGGGAGCATGAATTTCTATATCGACGCACCTGGTGTCGCTCCTTTTTGGACATCATGCGATTCCCTCTGCTTGTGTATTTTTTTATTTGTCTTTTTAATCGATCTATGACATTTGAATTTCGGTAAACTACTGTTGCTCTAAATTTAGTAAGTACGAGTACTCTCGGGTCGACACTTTGAATCTGTCACATTTCAGCGAAATCTTACATATCATCTATTAATATCAACTTGACTTTGAGGATACTACAGAAATTATAAGATCTGCTTTATATTGGATCTTTGTCTTGATTTTGACACAAATTGACGAATTAAAGCTTAGATTTCTGAACGTGACGATTTCTATTTTCCAAATTATCAACTTTTCGAACAGCAGTTACATACTTTCTGTTCCATAAAATGGCATTTTCATTTCTCAATTTATACACAACCCGCGTGCATGATCACATTATGCGGACTTAATTAACAAGGATATGTTTTTTATCTATGATGTCTATTTGTTTTGCTCACACATTGTTGTCAATATAATTGAATTCTATGCGATTGTTTTACAAGTGAGAGGTTTGGCTAGCTATAAAACCAGGTATAATCCACCATTTTCTACATAAAGAAATGCCTGTACTAAGTCAGGAATATGACAGTTGTTTTCCATTTGTTTGATGTGTTTGAGCTTTTGACTTTGCCATTTTATGTAGGACTTTCCGTTTTGAATTTGCCTTGGAGGTCGGTGTTTTTGTTATTTTACCTTTTTTAATGCAAAAAAGCTCCTGCAGGGTTATAAAAAAGAACAATTTTGCTTTCTTATCATGATTTCCTTGTTTGAGGATTGCTGCTCGCAAGGAAGCTATTAAACTCAAAGTTCCAAGTGGTGAAGTTGAAATAATCTCTTCGTAAATTCTATGGACGCCATCACGAGTTGGTTGACCGTTATGGAATATCCGTTTCACAGGTGATATCGGATATGTTCCAAATGTCGTAACTACAATCCCGTCCCCTTTTCCCCGAATATGACCTACCGAATTAGACTTATTACCGGGTTTGTACTGACATGAGCAACACGACGGGTGCCACATGTAGAGCAGGATCTGCTTACTCTTCTGGATCACATGATATCATCCCCCAGATTTTGGTGGAGTTCGTGTTGCTCAGTCTTTATTTTTCTATGTTGTGTTTTGTGTACTATTGTTGTCTGTTGGTCTTTTTCTTTTTTAGCCATGGAGTTGTCAGTTTATTTTCGACTTATGAGTTTGAATGTCCCTTTGGTATCTTTCGCCTCTCTTTTACAGAAATTTTCCAGTCATCATCACCAATTAGTTTGCCGATATAACGTTTCTGTGTCTCAACTAACAAAAGTCTAGTTTTCACTCTTAAATCTTTAGCTAAGTGAAAATTCGTCATCTTTGTAAATTTACAAAGAGTATTATCAGCTTAGTAGTCAGTGCTTCAGTATTGACATAATTGATAACATAGTTTTTTTTTCAAATCGCCGTTGATCAATAAAGAAAATATGTAGAAATTCCCTCAGGCATATTTGATCCTATATGAATTTGGCTATTCTATTTAGGCGAAGCTCATCAAGCATTTGTTTGTACAAAAATAATGAGTAAGATATTTCTTAATGAAGGTTTATCTAGAAAAGCGTGCAGGCCATATTATTTTGATTTATCGATTGTGTCGTTTTCCCGTTTGTGACATTGTAACAACTGTATTAATTCGCATGACAAGTGACGCATGTTTAGTAGATGACGTTTAACCTGTTTCGATATAGTTAAAGCTCATGCTATTCCCTTACCTCAGGATTTTAATCTCGATTTGGTCAATTTGACAGTGTTAACTACAGTTGCCCCTAATTTGGTGTTTTTATTATTTTCTTTTCTGTTTAGTAATGATTTTATAAATCAGACCCTTTTTACAGATTTTTAAAGTTTGATCTTCTGTTGTGTTATTACACCACTTTAACAGGGTGAAGCGCTCACAAACATGTCTAATCCCGCCACATTCTTTAAGCGCCTGTCCCAAGCAAGAATCTTGGTATCTAGTGTTTTTTCTATGGTTGCTGTTTGCCATGACCTTTGTGCATTTGTTGTTGTTGTATCAATCGGGTTGTTGTTTTTCTCTTTTAGATTGTTTCACATTTCACAGGGCCATATATAGTTTACTGTACGATTTTGTTTATTGTTGAATTCAGTATGCTGATCTGTAATTGCTTATATTATTGTTTAAGTCGTTAGGATAGTTGTCTCATCAGAGATCATACCAAATTGTCATAAAAATGTTTACCTCGAAGAAAACGGGAATCAGATTTGAAAATACTTTATGATCTGCAAGTCTTGTGTAATAACATTGGTACCGCTAATGTTATTACATTGATTACATGTTAATGTGTTTATAACATTTTTAAGTACATGTACATGTTGTTTGCTTCTATTTCAAATAGACTGTCCGCGTATTAAAACATCCGATTAAAAATACAGAAGTTTCATCAGTCAAATGAAGTGACTTCATGAATAAGTTATCATTAAAAGATGTATATTGTCCTTTCTGTTTGCTGCAAAGACTTCATAAACAGTAAGTCTAACACGTAGCGAAATATTGTGATTACAATTTTTTGGCAAATGTTTACAGAAATTCAGGCTCCTGAGCGATAAGTACCTCCTGCAACATTAGAGGCAACCAAATCATGATGACATTCATAAAATGTGTTTCAATTTTACAATTTAGAGAAATATATTCAATATTTCTCTCGAAAACTGAAGCCCTCTGTAGAGGAAACTCTATTCGGATAATCAAGAATATACTGTAAACCCTCCACTTAAACCGTTACTTTTATCATATGTGTTCAAGAAATTCCTAAAAATAGTTTTTCAATTAAAATTTCAAAAGACCAAAGTTGTTACAAAAAATTAAAACTATATCTGGAATTCAAAATTCTCGAAGGAAAACACAGAAGAAAATTGATGATGTAGTAAACAGTTAAAGGTTTAGTAATCTATAAAACAAATACTATTAACAAAATTTAAAAAAGTTTGAAAATTGTCAAATGCAAAAACCTATAAAATTATTCTCTAATGTTAAGTTGTTGCAATTTGCCCTCTTCAAGTTGATCAAGGTAGTTATACATGTAGTCATCAGCAAAATGTAGCATCTGCTGTAAGGTCATCAAAGCAAGGATGTTCACATTATCATTAAGGTCCATCTCAGATTCATAATTTTTTACTGGAAGGATGTGTGACCTCGGTAGTCCCATTATCTGCGAAACTCTGTCAACGGTTTCTCTGATCAAAGGACTGTGAAAGACATTTGATAAATCTTCCCCTGTTATCTCACAAATCTTGTCGATCTTTGTTAATAAAACCACTTGCGGAATGCCTGCAATTTTTATGAAAATGAAACGGTTATTTCTTTAATAGAATAAATGCATTTATATTCACATTTACATAAAAAAAATCTTTATGGTATTTTTCGATTTCTGGCAAAGTTGACTTTAGATGATTTTGTCTATTTTTTTAGGTCCTTTTTTGGTTATGAAGCTCTTCAACTGTTTCGTTTTTTATACATCCTTGACTTTGAAATATCTAGCTTTGAGATTTACTAATGAAGGTAAATCCAGAAGAGTGCTTCAGACGCATGAAATTTATAACGTGTTTTTATATTTTTCTAGTAATCCTCCACGATAAAAAAAAATGAAAATAACACTTTAAAAATTTTATGCGTCCGAAGCGCTTTTCTTGGTTTACTTGGTTCAGTACCGATCAAAGCCAACAATATGAATGCGTACAATGGAAAAGTACCGAAACAAATAAAGAGGTTAACTACAAAAAAGACATAAAACTGATAGCCAAATGAATCTACAGTCAACTTTGTCTTATGGAGTTGGAACCTTAGTTTCTGAATAATTTCTAAATTCATGAGCGGAAAATATAAGAAAGGAATGTTACAAATCATTTAGCGCGCAGTACTAACTACTGACATTATGACTCTCGGAAACTAATAGTCCACAAGCAGCGATATCGAAATACTTCTCTTAGTTTCACGTAGAAAATAAATGACATGGACATTTTGTTATTCGCCGCTCGTTTCGACCTTTGTAAAAATTGATTTTGACCATGATACAGTATTACCATTGCCTTATTCCTTAAGCTATAATTTACAATTGATATTAAGTATATCATTCTGATTTAAAGTAGTATAAATAAACTCAGACACATGGTCGCCTGAACTGCTTCCATCAATCAGTAAATTTCTTGCTTAAAAGGGATGTTCGTTTGGCTGTGCTGAATGTTTATAAATACAAAAAAGATACACAGCTACGGCCGATCAGAAGGAGGATATCAAATCCTTTGCCTAGTGTAGACATTGCTTTAAGAAACCATTTCAACAACTCTTTGATAGATGTTCATATGGCCTACTGCTGGACAAACTATCGCCCGAATCAAGAAATCAAGTAGCAGTCTATACGGAAGCGCTAAATTCTCCTCTTTCACTCACAGTATAAAATTCAGAATAATGTTTAACCCACAGACATTTTAATATTAAAGAGTATGAGCATCAAAAATGTGAAAGGATACATAAATACTTGAATACTTATGGAACTATATGACCAACAGGAAGCTAAAGAGAATAGCAAACTTCTGCCTAGTTGTTCCTTGATAATTTCCAATATTGTCAACGGAGAATTTAAGAATGTCAGTCTTTCCATAAAATTACATGGTTGCTATCGCTACGTATTGCTGATGAAGACAATTTTGAGAATTTAACACCTTTTTCTAGCTATATTCAGGCATTTATAATTTGGTCCATGTATTTAGAAATGATCTAAAAATATTGTTAAAACATCAAAGAGCATGCATAAAACTCTGATACTGTGAATTTAAGTTAGGATTGAAAAAACTTTAAAATTCGCTTTCATGCGAAATTATTTCAGAGGATTTGTCTTTACACGCCTTTCATCTCGACTGAGCCACTTGTCAAAGCCTGAAATGTTTGCAACAATCAATAAATCAACCATTATAATCAAATAGCAGAGCTTATTATTCATTAACTCACTATTTGTTTCATAAATTATAATTCTCATTAAACATTTTATCATTATGAAATAGTTCATCATACCTCTTTGGTTCATGCGCATCTGTAAGTTTTTTAGCCTCTCAATGACCTTTTCTGCCATTACATCTACGGTGCTGCCATCTAAAACAAACACCACACAGTGGATTTTCTCACTTAGGTGTGGGCTCGCTACAAAACCTAGTGTATCTGTGGAAACTGGGACAGATGGATTGAACTGTAAAATAATTTCAACGTTCATAAATTCAGATTGTTAAGATAAATAGATTGGATATAAAGAACGCATTAAATATTTTCACTATTGCGTAGCGTAGGACATCAAAACTAGGATATGCATTCTTCGACAACACATACATATTCCACGGTGTTCTTTAGAAAATGTTTTGAGACGTTCTGACACTTTTTCGGCTTGATATTTTATTTTTCATAACTATATAAATAAGACAACTCTCCATCCAAGTCACAATGTATAAAAAGTTATCAATTATGTCAAGATAATACATTTTAGAAAATGTCATATTTTGGGAACAGTTGTTGTGCGCATGTTTTTTTTATCTTGTTCTAAAAATTATGTTTATTACTTGTTACTATTGACAAAGCAATGACACACAGAGAAGGTTCAGCTAATTTGAAAATAGACCTGAATAGATTAATCCAGAAAGTAAAATTTATCGGCAAAACAATGCTTTTTAAATAAACAGGAAGAAAAAAACGGTACTATATTTGTATCCCTAAATTTATAGAATAAGTGTCAGTTTGGATCATAAAACTTAAGGCCATTTTGTTCGCCTATTGCATCTTTCATAAATATTGCATATTTTTTCATGGAAAAAATATGACAATTTAACATTGTTGGTTCATTTTGTATAACGGATTTTTGTTTCCAGTAGACTTTCCACTCGAAAGCTGTAAAAACCTAAGGTTTCTATAAAATAGAAGAAGTGTGTCACCTGGTGACGATCTGGTATATTGCCATCGAGTAAATAAGACATTTCATTTGCATCAACTCCTTGATCAGCTTCGATTCCTCTAGTGTCATGAAGTCGAAAATTCATTGGCTTCCCAGTTTCACCATTTCTGATTTGGTACATCCTATACTAAAATAGTTGAAAACGACAAATAAATATATGGAAACGATAAAAGTTTTTGACTTTCACATTAAAAGACAATCCTTTCAATAAAATAATTCATATCAAGTATTATAATTTGAGAAAGAAGTTATTAAAAGGAAACAATATATTTGGATCATGCTATTGACATGATGATCCCATATGAACATAAATAAATGAGCTTTAGTTTCATAGAGGTACTTTAAGCAGATTCCATTTTTACACATTAATGTTATTGAAGAAACAATCACAAACGTCACAAAAAATACGTCACTTTTTGTGACGTTGATCCATTCATGTGACGCGCAGTTTATATTTCGTTTGTGGTGTCCTGATGTGCTGTCGTAAATTCATGGGAGGTGTCCGTTGTGATTTTGCGCTTTACATGTTGTATGTACTATCATATTATTTATTTATGTATTTCTCTGTGCTGAGTGTTCTTGCGTTTGTTTGTACTGTATTCCTATCACGTAGTGTTGTCATTTTAGCGGTTTTTTTACATTGCCATATAAGCGGGAGGTTTGGCTAGCCATAAAACCAGATTCAACTCACCATTTTTTCTTAAAATGTCCTGTACCAAGTCAGGAATATGGCAGTTGTTCGTTTCTATGTATATTGGCGTTTGCTTTTGTTATAGTTCAGTGTTTCTGTTGTTCCGTTCTTTTCCTCTTATAGTTGATGTGTTTCCCTCGGTTTTAGTTTGTTACTCGAATTTGATTTTGCTTAATCGAATTATGACTATTGAACTTCGGTATACTACTGTTGCCTTTATTTACATGCGGTGAATAAGATTAGTTAAGAAACGTGGTTATGCTCATTTCGAACAGGTTATTTAATTAAATCAAATTCTTAGTAAAATAAACTATGTACGCATTTGAATTAAGGCGACAGTGGTTTACCGATGTTCAAATCTCCTAAATTGATTAGGAAAAGACAAATAAAAAAATAAACTGAGGGATTCGCATCAGCTCCAAAAGGAGCGAGACGGGGTTCATCGACAGGGAAAGCGTCTCCTGATATGCATGCATCACCCGCCATGCGATTTCACATTCGGTAAATTTGACACAATCAAGACTAGAACACAATCGGTTAATTTACAGATCAGACGACTATACTAAGTCTGGTATCTCAAGGTTGACATATCGTATCGGTCAAGCAATTCGCGATAATGAGAGTAAAACTTATGTAGTGTCGATTTCAGTCGTTCTTCCTCATAACTTTTTAATGCAAGGAGCAAATTACCTGTTCATGAAGTCCTTATAATGTGAACATGCACAAGCGTAACGTATTAACTGAGATATATAAACGCTATATGATGAATCATAGGGTATATTACTTTTGAGAAATGTGAAGTTGACAATTGGGAAGTTAAAATTCATCACGTTTGTGGTTGATTCTGGTTGGAAGTCGTCCATCAGTGTCAATATCAAGGAAAAGATCAAGATATGAAGCAGAAATTCTACTTTCTGTAGTGTACTTAATTTCAAGTTCACTGGGATATATGAGATGTAAGCACTCATTTAACATGTTGAAATGTAGGACATCATTATTATATCTGAGAGTATAATTAAAGAACTTTGAGAAGGTTTTGTGTGAATTCTGCTTCATATGAGTACAAAAAAACATGTTGTCGATCATTTTCGGAGTATGTGTTGTGGGAAGCAGTGTGCTTCTTCACAAAGTAGATTTTTTATGACCTAAAACAAGGAATTTGAATCTACGTTTATACAGTCGCTTGGTAATTTTAGCTCAATGCGGATGCTTTACGTTATATAAGATTGATCTTAAACAGTTCATATTGTATTTAAGAAAATCTTACTACAGTTGTAAGGCTATGTTCTGCATTTCCACTACAAGCCTGACTTGTAATATAGCCTCTAAATATTGAGTTGATAGTATTAAAGAAACTCGATTTCCCTGCGCCAACTTCTCCAATCATTAAAAGACGTGCTTGGGTAATTTTTAACTCCTTCAAAGGTTTGTATCTCTCCATTCTCCCTTTCAGCTCATCCAGCAGCTAAAATGACGAAAGACATAATTGGGAATATTTTATTATTTCAAAAAACGACTGTTCGTTTGTTGTGTTATAATGTAAATAAAAGAAAGGACCTAATCAATATTATGCTTCAAAGAACAATATTGTTATTATTCGGGAACTTACTTTTGTAACGCTATGACTTTTATAAGCTGGTCCCTGATTCAAGACAAATAAACTTTATAATTACTTAGATATTCAAATTATTTGTGTGAAAAAAGGCACCACGGACTTTAAGAAATAACCCCATTCCGCTGAAAAAAATCATGTTGGATCAATATTGGTTTATAATAAACTTTCATTATGATATTGACTTCAGACTGTGAAGAGAAGCAAGCAAGTACTCGATAGTAGTCATTGGCTATTAACAAGGAGAATATCCGAAAAGATTCGAAAATATGTGTTATATTCAACAGACATAATGAGCAAACCAAAAGAACAACTATTTAAATTTGTATGTAAATTGTGAACAAGGTTATTTTAAAATGTGAAACAGAAGCAAGTAGTTAACTTTCAATTTTATCTTTATTATTCGTAAGTTTTACGGACGCCATCACGAGTTGGTTGACCGTTTTGGAATATCCGTTTCACAGATGATATCGGATATGTTCCAAATGTCGTAACTACAATCTCGTCTCCGCTTTTCCCGAATGTGACCTACCGAATTGGACTTAATATCGGGTTTGTACTAACATGAGCAACACGACGGGTGCCACATGTAGAGCAGGATCTGCTTACCCTTCCGGAGCACCTGAGATCACCCCCAGTTTTTGGTGGGGTTCGTGTTGCTCAGTATTTAGTTTTCTATGTTGTGTTTTGAGTACTATTGTTTGTCTGTTGGTCTTTTTCTTTTTTAGCCATGGCGTTGTCCGTTTATTTTCGACTTATGAGTTTGAATGTCCAACTGGTATTTTTCGCCTCTCTTTTGAAACACGTAGGACTTTTGAGTTGACTTTTCAAAATGTCAAACAGAAGCAAATAGTTAACTTTTAATTCTAAGAGTATTTCTTCAAAGGCAATTTTAAATCGTACGTCACCAAAGGTCATACTTGCTCTGTGCTATATGATCGATGCCTCTGATAGATAGATAGAACTGCTGGATCGTCGGCACTGTAGGTTGTTTCAACAGCCCTGTAGTCGAGCAATTCCTGTGCTGACTTGAAATATTACTTTGGTTTTTATTGTTTCCAATGTCCTTCAACTTCAATTTGATTTGGCTGTCCAACTGTTTTGATTCAAACGCCACTGATGAGCTTTTTAGACGAAATGTGCGTCTGGCGTACTCTATGATAAGCCTGGTGTCTTGATGAGTTTTTTTTTAGCGTGAAAAAGGCATCCCCTGTTTTTGGTTAGTTTTGTGTTGATCAATTTAGGATTATTATGTGTAATGTTTTTTAGTGTTTGTCTTGTCGGTTTTTTTTTTGGTTTTTTTTTTTTGCCATAGAGTGTTTTCTGTCTTTCTTAAAATTTTTCTGTAGTTTTGTTTGTGTTATATATCAGCATCGATCCTCCAAGATAACGCGCATCAGAATATTTATTATATCCTCGATGGAAATACAGAAAATTCTAATGTGGGATCAACAACCTCAAATTGAAGAACAAGAAAAACACAACAAACCACACAAAATATAACAGAAAACTGAAAAATTAGCAGCACGAAATCGATCAAACAGCCAGATTGAACTTAAATGTTTAACAAACGTAAGCAATTAAATCTACATAAGCGATTTCTGCTATGTGATTCATGTTAAGCGGTTACATTTTACTGATTCTAGTGTCCTACCTTTTTAAATGTATTTTAGGTTGAATACGTGGTTATCTGCGATACAGATATTTCATGGCGCTCAACCAATTAGTAATGGTGACCGTAAAACTTTAGAAGACTTACAGTTTACGATTAAGAACCCATGCAATATTAAACTTGACTGGAGAAGTTAAAGAATTAAGATTTGACAATTACTGTAAATTCAGAAATTAATACGTACATTTATTATTGCGAATCATTAATTATGCGAGATCTAATTAACGCACTTGTAAAATATTTGTCAAGGAAAATCACGACTGAATGCGAGTTTTTATTTTTGCAAACATTATTCTGTCACATTTTTCGAATTTATAAAAAAGAAACATCGCAATAATTTCTAATTTTACAGTAGCTGATGACACGACATCATTTTGTAAATATAGATACGACGTGATAGCTGCAATAAATGAAATATAAATGTTAGTTTGTTTCAGGTTTGTTGTTAAATAGAAAAAGAAAATATGGATTATTGATATGGAAATTGAAATCATTTTAAGATAGAATTGTTGGGATAAATTGGGGATACAGACCTATTATAGCTTTAGGGGTGTTTTCGGGAATGATAAAGAGGAATGCCGACAATTAAGTTGGGATAGAAAAATATCAAAAAAATATTAAAAATGTTCACGGCATAGAAAAACTTATTATAAAACCATTAATCTTGCCTTAAGATTCTTGTGAAGTGTTTGTTCGATTCCAGAAAGCTATCTTACAGACTTAGAAACAAGAAGCTTTAACTACATTTGGGATTGGAAACCAGAAAAAGTAAACAGAAATCTGTTGTTAAGTTCATATGAAAAAGGAGGTTACAAAAGTTATGCTATGCCGCTAAACACATTTTGGATATATAGATTAGTAACTGGTAATCTTGCCACTTGGAAGCTGATACCTTTAAAATATCTAACGATGTCTAATAATAATGTGCAATATTTATCATCAATTTAAATGTAATAAAAAAAGAGTATTTTCAAGGTGTTCCAAAAGTTCATAGATAGAAAAATACAAAGATTTTGACTGGGGGTTGGCAAACCAAACAATCATTTACATTATTTGATACTAGAAAACAACTTATATGGATGAGTAAACTAATTACATTTCATAATAGACCAGTGATCCATGAAAACTGGATTAAGAGTGCTTTTATATACTTAAAGGATATTTTTGTGTCATTATCAGAAAACTTTTTTTTCAAACAAATAGAAGTGTAAGGTAAATTGGATTGCTGAATTTCATAAATAGAACAAGAGAGGCGAAAGACACCAAAGCAACATTCAATTCACAAGTCGAAAACAAACTGACAACGCCATGGCAATATAATTAATCTTTTCCAGAAGATTGGATTCAAGTCGTAAAAAGAAAATTCAATTAGAAGTACACCAAATGTTCATAGAAATAAGATTATATGGTAAATATTTTGACTTCATGTGTGTCATTAGATTTGATATAATTCATTAGTGTGCAATAAGAAAGAGACATCAATATGGATATATAGATGGCTTTGAGTTTTAGAAAAACAAGAAACTCAAAATATGATTTCATAGTATCACTTAATTTTTCAATATATGACTGAAATAAATATAAAATCTGCAGATAGAAATTATTCCAGTTTATTATTCCAACAAAAATGCTTTCAGTTCAACGAAAAATAATTAACAAAGATATTTGTAATATTTGTACCCTAAAAGAAAACTAGACACATTATGTTTTCAATTGTTATTTGACACGATTTTGGCAACAAAGCTACGACCTCTTAACCAGTTGTCATATAGAAGCTTAAAATACTTGATATTTAGATACTGAATTACAGACAATAAGCATAGCTTTTTGAATTTTTTAATTACAATACTTAGTTTTTCGATTTATAAGTCATATAAACAGAAACAAGAAATAAGTCATATTGAACAGAAACAAAAAATGTCGATGTCAACAGAATTTTGGTAGATGAATTTAATGATAGAGTAGACACCAATAATAAAGGATATAAGATAGCAAGCTAAGTGTTACTTAAAATCTAATAGAACATTAACAATGACAAATTTTAATGAAATGTTATAAGTAAAAAAATGTATATTTGAATTTATTGAATCAACCGATTATTTTTCAAGGATAGTCAGTGGAGTGTCACTGTGCACAGGGTACCTAACAAATCATCAAAGATAACTGGCTTATAATTGTGTACGCCAAGCGCGCGTTTCGTCTACAAAAGACTCATTATTGACGCTCGAATAAAAGAGAAGCTAATAGTTGCTCCGATTTTATAACTTTCGGATCTCTTCTAGCTATTTCTTTATATCATTAAAAGATGTACTAAAAGTAATTTGTCGTTTCCTTTCATTTTTTGATTTGAGAATTAAAAGAATGATACGGACTGCCATTTGTTTTTGTTTTTTTTTATTGACAACAGAAAGATAAAACTTATTAATAGACTTATAATTTTGAACGCCAGACGCGCGTTTCGTCTACATCAGTGTGGCTCGAATTTAAATAGTTGGTAGGCCAAATCAAATACGAAGTTGTAGAGCTTTATTTGCCGAAATTCCGAAAAGTTGGGCCAAATACTGCTAAGGCAGTCTATACCTGTGGTAGAACAACTTGAGTGCTTATAATAATTCAAAATTTCATATACACAGGAAAGTTACATATCAATGATATTTCATGTCAACATATAAGCCATCACTGGTCCTTTGATCGGTTACTTTGTTTCTGTTATTCCTGTTTGTCATTTAATTTTGCATTTTGGGTCGCATTATCTATGTATTTCTCATGATATTATGACTGATTAAGAAAATTTTAATTTATATAAGACAAGTAAGTCGATATGTCATCACTTGAAACTGTTTTAAATGTTTTTCGTATATGGTCAATGGCACGAATTATACTAAAATATTGTTTTGTGTGAGTACGCTTAAAGTAAATGGCTTATGCATTAAATGTAATTATCTTAGAATGGAATTCCTACTGGCTTCTGATGTGACCTTGTGATTAACTTTATATTTAAACAATCATCTAACAAAAATTAACAATTTTCTTTGAGAATTGAAATGTCAACTTGTTTCCAAATAACCTGGTGCCAAAGTAACGTGCAACTCGTTTGAATGGTTTTACACTAGTAATTTTTTGGGGCCCTTTATAGCTTACTGTTCGGTGTGAGCCAAGGCTCCGTGTTGAAGACCGTACTGTGACCTATAATGGTTTACTTTTATAAATTTTGACTTGGATGGAGAGTTGTCTCATTGGCACTCATACCACATCTTCTTATATCTATATAGCGGCAAATTTCCTTCAAATGGTTGTTTATTTGGTTGGCTCATTATGTTTATTGTCGAATATGATAAATACTCTCGAGAATAGATTCGAATCATTTCCAAGTCTGCTTGATTATTTGCTTCTATTCCCAGCCTGTAGTCAATATTAGAATTTAAGATATTACATTAAATGAAAAATTGTAGAGCAAAGTTTATTACTTTTTCCACAAAAGAAATTTGAATAATAAGAATTTTTTTTTTTCGTCAAAAAAGGTCAATAACGAATCGTGGGAATGATTAAATACTCCCTGTTTAAGCTACTTCAACGCATTTAAAAAAAAAACCATTAAAACGCCTTTTAAGTATTCTTTTCACAAAAACTTATATTCAACAGAAGTTTATGGACTATCATTTCTGCTTGCAAATCACATATGAAGGAAGAATGAATGGACTGTAAATACCTTAGTAATCTTAAACACAGATTATAGAGAAACTTCTTAATTATAGAGAATAGAACATGTCGAAATGATGACCTCATTTTCACCATAAGGAATATGATTTTGTAGCTTACTAGTTCTTATTATGCTAAATCCTGACATGAAACAAAATATTTTGATTGTCAGACGATATTAAGTGATGTTTACGTTATATACTTGTTTTACCAGAATTTTCATTAGTTTCAAATAGTTTATTACTTTGAATTTGAAATTTAATCGACAGTAATAACAGAACATTCAGTATAATAAATTAAATAACACACATCTGAGAGGGTGATACAGCAGATTGTTACCCCTCGAAAAGACATTGTCAACCTTGGCTTCGCCTCAGTTGACAATGTTTTCTCGGGGTAACAATCTGCTCTATCACCCTCTCAGCTATGTGTTATTTATATATTATCTTACCTTTGTATTCCATTCGGGTGTTCTTCTCCATGGCTCATTTAATGGTGCACCAGCAGGAATATCTAATTAATGAATATAATGAAATCAATACCAAAAACCCGACTTGTGCATATGTTTTATAATATGAAACTCAGATGTTTCTGATTTTCTTTTTAATTCATTATAAGTGTGCTCAAGTGCAGTATTTCTTTTAAATTAAAAAAAAAAGGAAGAGCAAAAAGGGATTAGCGTTATGTTTCCTATGCCTAACTATGTTATGATTTCAGCTGAAGTGATTCAAGAGGAATCGAACATGTCTGATGTAGCCTGAGCTGACACAACAACGTCCATTAAAGACGTCTAAGTTGACCCTGAGCCATCCAATGGAAAAAAGCTTGGCCTTCTAAACGAAAAAGAAAAAACAAATCAAAAGGCAAAAAAGCGAACAGATTTTGTTCATCGTAACTAAAAATAACATGCTTTGAACAAATATATTAAGATAGACCTATTGTTTGCCGTGAAAATGCGGTGTACTTATCTAACATGATAATACTCACAAATGTCATTTTGCAAGGTACAAATGAACGAGTATAATAAATGAAAAGATAACCGGTGAGGCTTACACATATCTAGCCTCAATACCCCTCCAGAAATTGTAATAGTAAGTTTAAGCTTGATGTCGTTTTTTCCTATATATAATTTTCACAAAAAAGGAGAATGAATTATGTATGTCATTTGTTCTAAATGCATAAATGAGACGTTTAGGCCTGACGGCTTCTCCGATTTTGACAGATGATGATAACTGTCATCTACAGGCGGATATCCAGTTAGAACTCGACAAAAGACTTTGAGCTCTTTATAATAGAAAGTAAAAATTCCTAAAGGGCGTAATCAAATTTGTTTATATTTGTCTTATGGTCTCTAAAACTTTATTGCAGCCGTTAATTTCTTTCTATGAAATGTTCTTATTTACTTGTACTCAAAAAATTAAAAAAACGGAACTAAAGGATATAATGCTACATCATTTAATTAATGAAAGACAAATATTGAAATAAAAAACTGAAAAAAAACACGAAATACTGATCTAAGGGTATTGGCAGTTACCGAAACCTAGTTCAAGTCAAGTTACAACAAAATACATCAATCAATAACATTTTCATTCAGTTTAAATTATCGATCTGTAGATATCCAACGGATTTATTGTAAATGAGTCATAAACAAATTTATAAAACATGACCTTGTCCAATGCCAAAATATAAGTATTACCAGGATGTAGGATCATCAATTTTCCTGACTTGGTATTGGTTTTCTCCGAAGAAAATGGTGGGTTAAATCTGGTTGTGTAGCTAGCTCCCACTCGTATGGCAGTTGTTTTAGTTCCGTTACATTGACAAAATTGGACGAGCAACCCAAAAAGACGGGTTAATGTGACAATTGGGAATTAGTATGGATATCGAAATAAACACGACGGGTTTTGTTTACCGCACCTACAATGAAATACATAGTTCATATATCTCGCTCTTTAAACTCTCTAAACAATAGTTGGTGTACGTGCAAGGAGTATAGCGTTATATATTCCATTATAAAACTTCTATATCATTTTGTAATGTTTTTTGTTATCGTTGTTTGTCCTTTCGTCGTTTTTATATGTTGACATGATGTTTTCTGTTATTATTGGACTTTTGATTTTCGGATTCATTCTTGGTATATTCTTTCTCTTTTTTTATCCAGCTGTTTTAAACATCATATTTAACGTCTTAAACTAGGAAAGACTTCCTCAAAATTTGTTCATGTATCTATTCATTTATTTATTTATTGGTTTATTTATTTATGAATGATTTTTACCAGTTCTCAAACAAGGGACTTTTGAATCTTAACAGCCCCTTAAACAAAGTGCAATTCTCTGGAATTGTTTGTTAGTTTTGGTTTGGAGATAAGGAGAGCTTCAATAATTATTCAAAAAGATTTGTACTTGCCTTCTACTAGATACACTTCAATATCTTTAACTTGCAGGTTGCCATTCGCAATTGAATTATAGTTTTCGCCATTCATTGTATAGGATGTTCCAAAAGCTGTAGATCCATTCAAACCAAAAATTGTTCCATCAAAGTTAATTGTGCTAGAAAATGCATGCAGATCGTAAGCTCCAAATGTTGGTCCATAGCTTGCATGGTCGTATATGCTATTTTGTGTATTGTGTATTGGCATTTGCACCGGCTTCCAATTTCCGTTTTGATAAAGTCTGAAGAGAAATGCTTTGGTGTCAACTTGGTAATTTCCAACACTTTTCCAACTGAGTGAAGTGTACCCACCATATATGAAATTATCGTTATTATAAAGGATCGTTACATTTGGTCCTTTATTGTTACAGGTATTATGGAAAGCTGTTGCAGTACATCCGTCTCTTGAAGCCTTATACAAAAGAGAGTATTTCTTCCTACCACCAATCCACTTCGTCATTTGCTTTTGGTCTTCCTTTTTAAACTCGATAGTCATTTTTGTAACCTGCAACAGTATCGATAAATATCATGTCTTATTTGATTTTAGTATGCTTTATGACGACGGATATGTTCCAATTGAAGTAACCGCAATCACGTCCTCTTTTCCCCGAGTATGACCTACCAAATTAGAATTATCATCTGGTTTGTACTTACATGAGTAACACGACGGGGGCAGTATGTGTTGCAGGATCTGCTTACCCTTCCGGAGCACCTGGGATCATCCCCGGTTTTTGGAGGGGCTCGTCTTGCTCAGTCATTAGTTTTCTATGTCGTATTTTGTTTACTATTGTTTGTGTTTTGGTCTTTTTTTTTATTTTGCCATGGCGTTGTCAGCTTATTATCGACTTATGAGTTTGAATGTCCCTTTGGTATCTTTCGCCTCTCTTTTTTAACTTAATATCAACCACTTCTCTATTCTGTTTTGTTTTTACCTTTTACTTGGAAATACGTATGTAGGTATGATACGTCAGCCATCCATCAGTTGCGATGTTTTCATTAGCATTGTTTTAAATAGTGTTTCCTTATTTCATGTAAAGACGATTTTCATGCCTTAAGTATTTATTTCTAAATATTTTGAAATTTTAAGAAACGAGAACATTGTTAAAGAAAAGTCACGATTTGTTGTTTAAGGTTTATGTCAGTAATTAATTTTACTACACGACAAAAAAAAGGAAGACCAATAAAAAACAATGTATAATAGCCGACAATACGGTATGGATTTTTATCATTGTTGAAGGTCGTACGGTCGCCTATAATTGTTTACATCCACTTTATTTGAACTTTGGTGGATAGTTGTCTCATTGGCAATCATACCTCATCTCCTTTGTTTACATAAGTATGTTTAATGTACGGAAACCCAACCAGTAGCAGTGGAATAGGCGCATTATCCCGATGTATTTCTTCAAAATAAGTAAAATATAGACTAAACATTTTGAACGCTACTTATATCAACTGTTTTGGAAAATGTCAACATATACTCCAAAGACACTTTCGAAAAATTTATAGATGGATGTATGGCCGTTTAACGTCTAGTGACAAATTATAAATGAATTTTAAGGACGAGAACATGATTATGTGATATGAATATAAACCCTCCTTTGTAGGCCGCTTTTTTTATGTGCTTCTGCTAAGAATTGGATCTTCTTTAGCGCTACCGCATACCCAAATAGCATGTGTCTTCACAAACAACTAGTTAATGATATTGCTGTGCCTGCCAAATGTTTAGTCGATCTTCTTTCTAATAATAAACCTCCATATATGAGCAATCAAAATCGGGCTTCATTGATATGGTCATAATTATAAATTAACTATTTACAAAACTTTGAATATTCGAAATACTAAGGATATTCTACCCCTGGCATAGATAATCTGTATGGCAAAACCTTTAGGAATTTGAGTCCTGAATGCTCTTCAACTTCGTACTTTATTTGGCCTTTTTAACATTTTTTATCTGAGCGTCACTGATGAATCTATTGTAGACGAAACGCGCATCTGGCGTTAAAACATTTTAAGCCTGGAATCTATGATAAGTATAATTAAATGTTTACAAAACTTTGAACCACTGGATCGATGTCACTGCTTGTGGGTTTCCTTCCCGAGGGTATCACCATCCCAGTAGTCAGCACTTCTGTGTTGACAAGAATTATCATTGAAATGGTCACAATTATAAATTAAATGTTTACAAAACTTTGAACTTTACGATTTGCTAAGGATTTTCTAACCCAGAAATAGTTAACCTTAGCTGTATTTAGCAAAACCTTAGACGTAGATACAAATATCCTGTTTAGGTAGGGACAAATCATACTTTGTACAATAAAACACTCTGCCGCACCTCCTTGGTTATATACTGATTGAAACAAAAATTACCCTGAAACTGACAACATCAAGATGCCTCATTTTGTTTCATTGGCAACATATTTGTTCATACTCTATTAATAATATGTATTCCTCTTCACGCCGATATTATTCGTATGAGACAAACTTCATATGTGGCCTTTAAGAGGAGTGAAAAGAAGAAAACTTTATCCTCGTACTAGTTTCTTTTGATAATAACGTTTGCGACTTATAAAGCAGGTTTGTAATTCTCTTTTTTTTTGGATTACTTTCTTTATGATATTTATTTCAGCTATCCGGTTAAATTTTTTTTTTTACGATGTTTTTTTAATTAAAGCTTCATTTACCAATGTATTGAATAGATTATTTTATTACATTGGCCTTTTTACCTATTATAAAAGAGAGGCGAAAGATACCAAAGGGATATTCAACCTTACAAGTCGAAAACAAACTGACAATGCCACGGCAAAAATAAAAAAACTACGTAAAGACAAACAACAGTACACAAATACAACATAGAAAAATAAAGACTGCGAAACACGAACCCCACCAAAACCCGGGTTAATCTCAGGTGCTTTGGAAGGGTAAGCAGATCCTGCTCCACATGTGGCACCCGTCATGCTGCTCATGTTAGTTCAAAACTCGGTGAGAAGTCTAATTTGGAAGGTCACATTCGAAAAAAAGAAGACGGGATTGTGGTTACGACGATTGTAACATATCCGTCGTCACCTGTGAAACAGATATTCCATAATGGTCAACCAACTCGTGATCATGTCCGTAATTTTTTCGATGGTATGATTTCAACTTAACCACTTAGAACTCTAGGTTCAATAGCTTCCTTGTGAGCCACAACCCTCTTATCAAGAAAATCATGATGGGAAATGCAATTTTCATGAATATCGTTACAACTAATAGATATACTTTCCATATACAGGCGCTGCTAGAATGTTGCTACATAGAAATGGAAAGTTCACAATTGGGAAGCTGAAATCATCTCTTTTGTCGTAAAGTTATGTTCTCAACCGACCCTCATTATCATTTTCTAAATGTTAGTTAAGATATGAAGCTCCTGTATGAAAATAGCCTCATATGAATAAAGGAACAAGTTAGCAAGAAGAGGAGCAAAGTTGGTTCCCATGTGAATGCCGCTTGTTTGTTGAAAAATACGAACTTCAAACGTAACAAATATATTGTTAATCAAGAAATCAAGCTTCTTGGTGATATCAGTTTCAGATACTTTTTGGTTTGAATCGGAGTGATTTATCTTCCCTAAGACAAGATACGTGTACCTACGTTGACCTTTTTTATGAAACAAAGCAGGACCAATACTTAAAATATGTCTTAATGGCTTTATCTGCGGGGACAATAAAATATTTGTCATGGATGTATAACAGGTGCTTAGCCACATTGGGGTCTTTAAAGATCGATGTAGCACGTGTATTTATAGACTCATTCAGTATTTTGATTCTATTGTATCAACGACCTCACAGCCTTTGCCCATTCGGAAAGAATATATTCTTTTGCGCTTTAAGCTCATTGTCGCGCATAATCCTCGACTGAATCCATCAGTATTTAAAAGTTGTTATTACAATTGATGGATTTAGGCGCAAGATATTTCGGACCTTTGGAGAACATATTTCTCAGAGTAGTGTAACTTACAATGTTAATGTCGCCAGTAATAACGTGGCCAACCGGATTACATATAATGGTTGCTCGTTAGACCACACCCGGTAGTTTTTCTTCTTTTTATATACCATAACTCGATGAACTTTTACAATTATAGTAATAAGAATGAAAAAAAATCTTTTCTACAATTAAAAACAAGAAAAAGGATGGCAGTTTTGTTGATTTATAGGTTTAAATGTAAATGGCACTAACCTTATGCAATGAAATTGATGAAGTATCTAACTAACCTAACCTTCCTAACACAAGGAAGATTTTCCAGATAAAAATGAACTTTATACTTTATACCAAATAAAGTCCAGAAATCAATATTGTATCCTAAAGAATAACTAACAAATGTTATCTATTACTCAAATTATACACATTTTTATCACAAGTACTGATGTTAAACATTTAAATACAGATAAAACGACTGAAGGAAGTTCTAACATTGATTTTGATAAAAAATTATCATGTATAGATAACATCACACGAGTGCAACGCATACAGTTAGATTCTTTTGGAAAATGTACGTATATGTGTTTTGTTTTTATACAAAGTATTTTTGTTGTTTTCCTAAATACGTATTGCTATGTCGTTTATATAAAAATAAGGAGATATGGTATGGATGCCATAGAGACAACCAATGTAAGCAACAATGAGAAAAACCCAAACGGTATAGTCGGCTATAAAAGGCCCCGACATGAAAAATATGAAACAATTCAATTGAGAAAACTAATGGCCTAATTTATAACAAAACAATTTACGAAAAACAAATATGACAGACATGAACCAACGACAACCACTGAACTACAGGCTACTGACTTGGGACAGGCACATTGTTTTAGTTAAGAGGGGGAAAACAAACTGAAGCCTTCTTTTATATGGTTATTGATAAATCAAAATTACCCGATAAAGGGATAGTTCATTTGAATTAGAATCCGTTAGTTTAGCCAAAAAGTGTCAATTACGAAGTTATCTAGATATTATATCTCCATAGTTAATTCTTGTTTACCACATCAAATCAAGCAGATAAAGGTAAGGGGAATTTAGACAAGTTTTTATGTCCCTACATCTAGCAGCTGCGACAAGAAAGTTTTCAAGTAACCGATTACGATAACCTCTGATGATTATAAATTAAGATGCCACAAACTCCTTCATTTCCGTATCACTTTTATTGTGAATTTGAGTTTGTGACACCTTACATTTAAAGTGATGACACCCGAATTTGTTAAGATCCAATATCATCAATTTAAAGATAGTGTAGCTGGTATCATGTGTGACTAATTTTTAAACTTGATAACAACAGATTTGTTGATCATGGAAACAGTAAACCTTTAAATTCATTTCAAAAACTATACTTATATGGTTGGGTTGTTGTCTCTTTGACACATTCCCCATTTCCATTCTCAATTTTATTAAGTATCTGAAATATGAGGAGGATTCGCGGTTTTTTGTAAATTAATTTTGCATAAATATTGCATGTTAAATTGATATGTAAAAAAATAGA